TGTGTGTGTGTGTGTGCTCAGGTGTGTGCCTAGGTGTGTGTACAGGTGTGTGTGTGTGTGTGTGTGTTTGTGTGTGTGTGTGTGTGTGCTCACGGTGTGTGCCTAGGTGTGTGTACAGGTGTGTGTGTGTGTGTTTGTGTGTGTACATGTGTGTGCTCAGGTGTGTGTACAGACAGGTACGTGTGCTCAGGTGTGTGTACAGGTGCGTGTGCTCAGGTGTGTGTGTGCTCATAGGTGTGCTCAGGTGTGTGTACAGGTGTGTGTGTGTGTGTGTGTGTGTGTGTGTGTGTGTGTGTGTGTGTGTGTACGTGGAGCAGGTGGCGCTTGGCCTTCTAAGGTGTTGTGCCCAGTAGGTGATGCGGGGCTCGGGGGCGTACGACATAGTTTTCATTTCTTGCAGCTTGGTGGAGCTGGCGCAGAGCGGGGACGGCGGACTTTCGGTGCTACGCACGTTCCGGTTGCTGCGGATATTGAAGTTAGTTCGCTTCATGCCCGCACTGCGGCGCCAGCTGGTGGTCATGCTGAGAACCGTCGACAACGTCGCGACGTTCTTCATGTTACTTATGTTGTTCATATTTGTGTTTAGGTAAGTGTCGTAGTAAACATTTCACGTTGAGGCTCGATGTCACGGTCCAGCGTGATATATGTATAGCAAACGTACACGTGTCACGGCTAATAACGAACTTCTTCATAGTAATTACGGTTCACCTTCAGCAAGAATTCCTAGGCCCACATAGTGTACATATGCTATATAGTAATTGTTATAAAGTGCCTATCACTCGGAACTTTTATCGCTGAGAGAAGTTATAGTTAACTGTCAAGTTTAGAAAATTACATCAAGATTTTTTGAAAAGACGCGAGCATAGTGCAAATTTGCCTCCGTGTTCGGGCCACACACACACACCTTTGACTTCCCCGCATTGTACTCTTGCCCGAATACGCTCGAATCTGCCTTACACCATATCGGTGTCGGAGAGAAGGAAGAATGAGAAGACGAAGAAGAATAAGGAGGAGGACATGAGCGGCAGCTAGCACATCGTGACAGGGGTGGTTGGCCGATGATGTCGATACTCTGTGCTGTAGTCACGCTGTCGTGCTGAAGGCATGCGGCGATAGAACGCCCGCACACACACACTCGCAACCCGCGTTCTCCGCTCCTTATGTCGTATATATGCAGAGCGGCTCCGTGTTTGCTGATGTATGTATATACATATATATCAGAAATAGATAATAGGGAAGGAGTGCGACTTCAATAAACAAGGGAGATTCGTTATTTACTAGCCTTAGAGTACCTACGATTTACTACGCGTAACTCAACCAACTTGAGCTGAAATCGTACACAGTATATTTGCCTAGCATCGTGCGAAATCGTTTCCTCGTACACACCCGCAATCCGGAGATACAGACTAAAACGTACGACACGATTTTCCATTATGTTGCCAGCAAACTGAATGTATAAACCGCCTAACTTGAAACAAATGGCAGCTACTAACGACTCTTGCGCCCTCGGCGATGCGGTGTGGCTCGCTGGGAGATTGGATATCGACGCAACACTCGGCGAGCTAATCTTTAACCTATTTACAGCTGCCTTTTGTTCAGTTAGAGTTTATGAATTCAGTTTGCTGCGCACATATGGAAATCGTATTGTACGTTTTCAGTCTGTTATTTCCGGATTGGGGTGTATACGAGGAAAGATTTCGCACGATGCTAGGGAATATACTGTGCTACGATTTCAGCTCAAGTGCGTTGAGTTACACGTTAGTAAATTGTAGTATTATAAGGGCTAGTAATATGACGAATTTAGCGTTGTTTATTGAAGATCACACCACTTCCAATTATCTATTTGATATACTATATAATATATATTATATATATTTTATATATATCTATATATGTGTATCTTAATTATGTATAATATATGATATATTATAGCATATATATATAATATGTATATATTAGTGTATTGTATGTTTACTATATCATAACAGCATTACTATATATATATATTTCTCGAAACTTTTTCCTCTTTTTTTGCGCACTCATGTAGCTTGCGGCGTGTTCTTGGTGCGAATTCGTTCTGTCATCGTGTTTACTTCGACTGCGTAGCTTCACACAATTCACATTTACGCACACAAAACGACACCACACACACACACACACACACACCACACAACACAAACGCCAGCACGCGGAACAGACGCACGACGACACACAACACGCAATTCGCACACACGCACACACACGCGCACGCGTGCACATACGCACACGCAACACGCGCATATACGCACGCACACCGCACGCGCACTGCGCACAAAATGCACTGTGCGCGCGCGATGCACGTACGAAAACACCACACCACGACACGCGCGCCCGCACCACGACGCACACACATATTATATATATATATATCAAACACGCAATGCGCGCACACAATCTCCACCTCGCTCACTCATTCGTTACACTCAATTTAACAAACTTCCATTTTCTCACTCACTCATTCACTCATCGCTCACTCATCACTAACTCACTCACTAATCACTCACTTACTCAGCTCACCCTACGACACAGTTCGGTCGGGCTCGTGCTTCGCGTGTAGAATTGGGGGTTACCTCGAGTTATACAAGGGGGGTGGGACAACTGTGCACGCTGATGCATTTAAAATACTTAATAATAATAATAATAATTCAAATACGTGGAATCATGAAACATTATATGAATTTCAACAATTCCCGACATGATTTCCAACGGGTTTTTTTCCATCATTTTCGTAAGAATCGTTTTCGAAATAGAAAACAATACGGTCACGTACGATATCAGGAGATAACTTGGAAGTTTACTTGGGGACGTGCGGTAACCCTAGACGCAAACTGTGTCGTATGTGCATCATGTTCAACAGTGCTAACCGTGTCGTGTCTACGCCGGTAAATACTAGCGCGTGTTGCCCGTCTTCATGCTTACGTATTTACTCTTTTTTTGGCTGTGAGCCAAGAAAGCTTGTGCAGCTAAAATGGCGGGCGTGCGGCATCGTGCGCCCACCAGGCGGCGCCACGAGTCGTCTGCAATTAAACGGCGTTTAGTCAGAAAAAAATATTCCCAACTTAAAATTTAATGAAAAAATTCTTTCAATTCGTCGAACGATTTAATTAGTGAGATGGGCGAAATTGAAGATGTTTAGAAAGACGTCGTTGATTGTGATGGATAATTTAGTGCGTAAAGATTAGACTACATGTTTACTGACCTTCAGGCAACGACGAAGACAAAGCTGACATAAATTACAAGTTAGCGTTAGCAAGCATTGTTTACACGCATGTGGGAAAAGTTTGGCTTAGGAAGCTAACACACTCTGTACACTAAGATAACGTTAAATCTTTCCTGCACTAGTTAAACCACCAAACTGGAACGTATGAATCTAAAATGATCTAACTTGAATTCAGAATACCGAGTTAAAAATTCAAACACAATTGACGAATCTATCGTGAATTTCTTCCGCTGAAGTCAGTGGATAAATTTGGTATGCTCCTATGAAGTTTGCTGGCGGTTGCTTTCACATTTGGCATCGTTGCTTATTCGACATGAGACACTGTTGAGGTCGAAGGTGTAATGGCCAACTTTCGCATTCATTCGATTTTTCAAAACACTAATGCTTCATTCATTTTAAGTACTACATACACAACTTATATTTTGTTAGGTAATGTAGTAGTTGTCATCAGCTATTTATATACGAAAATCGATTTAGAGGTTTTCTGCTAGAAATAACAGTTTTTGTTCGTTTAGAGCGTTCTACGTGCGTGAATGCGTTTACCTGCAGTCATTCACTAACATTTTATTTTGCAAATTTTCTCTCTATTTTAACATCCGATGAGGTCACTTTCGTTGCTAGCTATCTGCGTTTTTAGTTTCTGTTTTAAATCCTTCCATTTTCGTTGCGTTGCGGTTTTTCGTGTTAGCTTTATGGTCTCTGTCAGCCTTAAACGTCTCCTTTTCACCTCTATTCGATTTCTGTGAAGTATCCTCTTCTATCGCCTCTCTTCTTTGCAGATATCTGACTTCTCAACTCAATATGTTTTTAGGTTACGAGCGAGGCAGCGAAAGCTGCCGCATACTAAGGCCGTGTTTTTTTTCTCTACTGTAGCATTCTGGGAATGAACTTGTTTGGGTGTAAATTCTGCAATAAGTCGCCGATAACTGGGGCGATCAAGTGCGACCGCAAGAACTTTGACTCGCTGCTCTGGGCACTTGTCACTGTTTTCCAGGTAGACATCCACTATTGACATCTGACGGCGCTAGCGTAGTTGCACGTGTGTCTGTGTACGGTTGCTCCTATTGAGTCAAGCGGGTGTGCGTCTGTCTGCTATCTTATTGTGCGCACTAGCTTGTAGAACGTGGTGCGACGTACGCTCCAGAAGGTCACCTTGAAATGAGGCAACGTTTGTAACGCAAATCAGTGTTAATGAAGTTTCTGTTAATTGTAACTGTAATGAAATTATGGTTTGTATATAATTGAGTATGTAATATGTATATAATTGAGTTATTGACTACGATATTCAATGCTACGGTGAAAAAAAAGTTCGCGAAATCATTTTTTTACCTTCACCTAGCGGGTAACCTCTGAACTGCAAACGAGAAATTATTGAAGGGTGGCCTCGCGCATGCGCGTTACTCTCAGCTACTAGGCATGCATGAATGTGCTACACACTGCACGCATGCGCGTGTTCTTCTACCACGTGACCGCTACGTCATCGTGACCTAGAAGGCAAGATGGCGTTCGGACATGTATGTTGCCGATGGTGTCCGCTAGACGTCGCATGTTTGCTGCTGTTGCTGCGTACTTGTGCGCGTGCGTGTGTGCGTGCGTGCGTGCGTGCGTGCGTGCGTGCACTAGCACACGAGTTTCACCATCGCTCATTGCTCATCGTCAATGGCGATCAACTCACTCCTGTCACTGTGCAGCACATTGCCGTGTCCACCAGTCTCCGGCGGGTAGTTCTCACAGAGGCCGTGTGGTGGCGCTGCACGCGTAACTACGCGTAACTAAGCACGCTGTGCAGACGACGAAGCTGTCGATGATGTGAAGGAAGCTTTACTAAAGGCTTCTCCCTCGCCATGCCTCAACGCTGCGTGGACAGGATCAGATCTACGATTTCAGCATCTTCTTCATCACGATATTTAGGTGCGAAGAGGGCAGGTCAGGTCAGGTCAGGTCAGGTCAGGTCAGGTTAGGTCAGGTCATGTCAGGTCATGTCAGGTCAGGTCATTCTATATCAAAAACGTCGAAGGGGGAGGGTGAATGGGGGGGTTTAACGAATGATCAAATAATTCATAATACAGCAGAGCGAAACAACAGAGAGAAAGGGGGAGCGGCAGAGTTGGGTGGGGGAGGGACCCGACAGGGGCGTCGATGACGGGTGAACTAAAAGAGAGCTGGCAGGGGGGGGGGCTACCACTATCCCGCCCACACCCCTACATTACCGTGCGCCTGTATTTCGTTATAGTCTGCTAGGCATGGACTTATTCGCCGGTAAGTTTTGCACGATGAAGGACGGATCTGGGCCGTGTAGCTGCGAAGATCTGCGCATGCGCCGTGCAGACTGCGATTGCAATCGCAAGAATTTTGACTCCTTCCTCTGGTCCGTAATCACGGTTTTCCAGGTAAATGGCAGCAGCAGCAGCAGCGTCACCTCGTGTTGCGCCTATATTTGTCATCGTCCGTCTGTTTCGCGCGCGCGCGTTCGTGTGTGTATGTTTGTATGTGTGTGTGTGTGTGCGCGTGCGTGCGTGCGTGCGCGCGTGCGTGCGTGTGTGTGTGTGTGTGTGTGTGTGTGTGTGTGTGTGTGTGTGTGTGTGTGTCTGTGTCCGTGTGATTACGTCACGTGCATGCTGCCTATTGACCTAAGGGAGGGGGTTAGGGAAGGAACGGTGAGTGAGTGAGTGAGTGAGTGAGTGAGTGAGTGAGTGAGTGAGTGGAAATGAGTGAGTGAGTGAGTGAGTGAGTGAGTGAGTGGAATGAGTGAGTGAGTGAGTGAGTGAGTTGATGAGTGAGTTTGAGTGAGTGAGTGAGTGAGTGAGTGAGTGAGTGAGTGAGTGAGTGAGTGAGTGAGTGAGTGAGTGAGTGGCTGATGTGAAGGTGAAGTGCGAGCGAGTGATGCGTGAGTGAGTGGAGTGAGTGAGTGAGTGAGGTGAGTGAAGTGAGCGTGAGTGAGTGAGTGAGTGAGTGAGTGAGTAGAGTGATGTGAGTGGTGAGTGAGTGAGTGAGTATGTGGTGGGTGTCGCGGAGGGGGTGGGGTTCGTGTTTAAGTGTGGGATGTGGGCGGGTGGTGGATGAGCCGCCGGATTTGCGTAACGCATGGAGGGCGGTCCTTGCTTGGCAGACGATGAGTCGGGCCGTGGTGTAAGTCCGGGTATCCCCGCCATGCTGGTTAGCGGGTGAACCATGGCCGTGAAGGAGAAGGTTGGCCCCTACAAGCGCCGGCGCCCCGGCCGCGGCTAGGGCGAATCAGCGGACCCCATCCCCGCCTACCAGTCCACACTTCCTCTCGCTGCCAACCTCGCGTTATTGCGCAATACTTGCACGCCAGCGATTTTAGCGCCGTCTAGCGGAATCAACTTCAACCGTTCTGAAAGTCCGAATTCGAGAATTCTGACATTCGCCCACGCACATTAATAGTCGTTGATCGTATTACCCAGCATGCACCTCGTCGTCTCTTGCATCCGGGGCTTGAGGACATTTTCGCTTGTCAACGTCCGCCGTTCAGTCTGTTTACGTAGTAGTAGTTGTACACGTCATCGTTTATACGTCATAGTTTATACGTCATAGTTTACACGTCATAGTTTACACGTCATAGTTTACACGTCATAGTTCATACGTCATAGTTTAGAGTCAGGCGATTGTAATAAAATAAGTATAAAAAAGTACAAACTAGTATAATGCATAACTCGTTAGGCGGTGTATTTCGTAGGCTCGCGTGCGTTTGCGCGTGTGTACGTGTTAATGTGCGGCAACATCAAACAGTACCTACTTCGCCGAGTAGTATAACGATAACAGGCGCGAGTGTGATGAAGCGTTATGCTCACTGTGACGTATTCATCCGCGGCGTGTCTTTGATCTTTTATGTGTGCGGTGATATTTCACGCATGATCGCCATGATGCTGCCTGTGGAAGCAGAGGTTGAGTGTTTACGCGTGTTTTTACGCGCGGTCGGTCATCTGTACTTTGAAACTTTTTTTCTTGACGGCCGTACGTGATTGTTTTCGGTTTTTTTTTCGAGCGTTATCTAACATCACGTCTGTCATCATCGTCGACATTTATTTCCTAACGATGACAATCGTTTTTTTTTTCACGGGCATTGTTCAGCGAATCGCACCAAATGCGTAAAAAGCTTTGTTTTCTAACGTCGTTGTTTTTTCACGGTTGCGACAGGTCGCGCTACCTGGTGCTGGATGTGCCAACTAACTGTACTCACTCGCATTCCCGCTGCTCCCTAGTCTACCAGCTGTCTGGCCCTAGGTACATGTAGCTCGGAATATATCTCCCCATCGCATGATCGCCTAGACACACGCGTTTGCCTGATTACGCTGTGTTACTGTCGCGTTTTTCCCTCGCGTGTCTCTGCATATATTACGTAATATAAGCTTTTGTAATTTTACGTTGCTTGTATAGCGTGCTCCATGGCTGCATTATCTGACCTATCCCCTGTCGTGATAGCTTGGCAGCTCTACCCAATCAGTGTTGCGATTGGCCGTTATAAAGATGATTCTTAATGACGAAGTGCCGCAAACTCGACACGTTTTGGCAATTGCTCGCGGGGCGCTCGACCAATGAAAAATCTTTTTTCGCGAGAATGTTTCGCGACGAGAATCGCGGCACTACGGTCGATGATTGCACGTCAGTCTATTTTTTACGGAAAGCTCTACCGCTAATACTATCAACGCCATTCTTATGTACTTGCATGGGCGACACCTTTCGGGAAAAAATTGCGTCGAATCAACGCCGATGGCGCCATCTATCTATCTCTCTCTCTCTTTCCGCAGGGAGCGACAGCGATCGCTCGAGCACAGCCACTGCAATGGCGGCAGCGGTGTGCAGCACCACCAGCGCCCTCTAAGAAGCGTGCTGAAGCAGAACTCAATCGGCAACGGGCAGCCGTCGCCAGGTGGCGGGCCGGACAGCGGTGGCGTTGGCGGTGGCGGTGGTGTTGGCGTTGGCGGAGGCGGCGGGAGGTCGCGGTGCGATTCGGGGAGTAGTCGTGTGTCGGGCAGGCTACCGACGAGTGGCAGTGCGCAAGGTCACCTCGTCAGGGAAAACTCACACGAACACTCNGTGTGTGTGTGTGTGTGTGTGTGTGTGTGTGTGTGTGTGTGTGTGTGTGTGTGTCGTGTGTGTGTGTGTGTGTGTGTGTGTGTGTGTGTGTGTGTGTGTGTGTGTGTGTGTGTGTGTGTGTGTGTGTGTGTGTGTGTGTGTACGCGTGTGCGTGTGCATGTGCGCGTGTTCGTGCGTGCGCGTGCTTGAGTGTATTCGTGCTGTTTTCGCTCCACACTCTACTGCGCCCGCCGTCGTACTAGCATCCGAGTATTGCAGCATTACATGGTGCAGCTCGCATGCTCCGCCTCCTCTCCTCCCTGACCCCCTCGCCTTCCCCCTCCTCCCTGACCCCACCTTCTCCCATCCTCCCTGACCCCACCTTCTCCCCTCCTCCCCTTACCTTCTCCTATTCTCCCTGACCCCCACACTCTCCCCTCACCTTCTCTCCTCCTCCCCTCACCTTCTCCCCTTCTCCCTGACCCTCTCCTTCTCCCCTAACCTTCTCCCATTCTCCCTTCCTCCCCTCACCTTCACCTCGGCATCGCTGCAGTCTCACACCGCAGCACTCCATCTCCGACACGACCGACTACCAGCTCGGCGAGCTGGATCCCGTTACCATGGAGACGCAGCAGCGACAGTACGAGGTGGGGAAGCTGGGTGGCGGCGGGAGGATGCCGGATGTACTGGCACAGGTGAGCATCATGGAGGCTGGCTCACTCAAGGACACGAGCGAGGAAGGCAGCTACGATACAGAGGACGGGCAGCTGGTACGTTGACATCGGCTATTAGTCGTACATGATTTCCCATTGGTCGTAAACGATTTCGCGTTGGTCGTAAACGAATTCTGATTCGTTGTTCATTATTTCTCTTTGCTGGTACGTGATTTATTATTGACTGAAACCGCAAAAGGAGGGACTACGATAAAGAAGGTTATGTACTTTTTTTTGTTTAGTTGTGAATTACGCGTACGGCTCAAATACTTGGCTTTCTTTGAAGACAGGTTGTTTACCGATCTATATAGAGATAGATGTGGAAGAGAAAGAGTGAGTGAGAGAGAGAGAGAGAGAGGAAAAAAGAGACTGCGAGAGAGAGAGACAGAGAGAGAGAGAGAGAGACAGAGAGAGCGAGAGAAGAGACAGAACAGAGAAGTGATGCGCGCGAGAGAAGGAGGGATATGAGAGCAGGAAGACGAGAGAGAGAGAGAAAGAGAGAGAGAGAGAGATGAGAATGACGAGAAGAGAGCAGGAAGCAAGAGAACGAGAGAGAGAAGAGAGAGAGAAGAGAGAGAGAGAGGAGAGAGAGAAGAGAGAGAGAGAGGGGGGGGGGGGGGGGGGGGGGGGGGGGGGGGGGGGGGGGGGGGGGGGGGGGGGGGGGGGGGGGGGGGGGGGGGGGGGGGGGGGGGGGGGGGGGGGGGGGGGGGGGGGGGGGGGGGGGGGGGGGGGGGGGGGGGCGGGGGGGGGGGGGGGGGGGGGGGGGGGGGGGGGGGGGGTGGGGGGGGGGGGGGGGGGGGGCGGGGGGGGGGGGGGGGGGGGGGGGGGGTGGGGGGGGGGGGGGGGGGGGGGGGGGGGGGGGGGGGGGGGGGGGGGGGGGGGGGGGGGGGGGGGGGGCGGGGGGGGGGGGGGGGGGGGGGGGGGGGGGGGGGGGGGGGGGGGGGGGGGGGGGGGGGGGGGCGGGGGGGGGGGGGGGGGGGGGGGGGGGGGGGGGGGGGGGGGGGGGGGGGGGGGGGGGGGGGGCGAAGCAAAGGAAGAGAGAGAAAAACAGAAACACGAGAGAGAAAGATTGTGCCATAGGCAGTCTCTCATGATGTCTCCTTTATATAGGCTAATATGTTGTATACATGTATTATTACATTATTATATTATATTTATTACATTATTACCAACATGTTTGTGTTTGTGTTTGTGTGCCGCAGGAATGCTGGGACTGGATCCCTGAGCCGACGGGATGTCTAAAGGAGAGGACCGAGTACTCCTTGTTTTTGTTACCGGAAGACCATCCGTAAGTTTACTTGCGCATGCGCCCTACCGTTAACCATCCCCAGTGCTACACAGACTGAATATCTCTACTACAGTATCACACCTGTCAAGATCATAACGGGAATATTGGCAGCTATCTATAACTAATCTATAATCTATATATTATCTATCTTAATCGATATTGTCTATAGTAATCATTATCGATTACGTATATCAATGTACTGTATAAAAGCAATGCTACCTATAATCCATATAATCTATAATCGTTAATGTTGTATCGTAAGAGATGTATGCTATACTTCTAAATGATGTATGCTCGAAATTGTCACCTATAATACATAAGATAATATCAGGAGTGAATCATTATTATATATTATATTATACTAAATATATTCATTTTTATATATTTATCATATATATATATATAGATGCATCTATGATTATTCCAGTCTGATATATATCGCCTAATAATCACTTACACGCGCTACTGGAGTATGGAGAGTTAAACACTACACGTACTAACGTTCGTATATACACGTATCTATCCTTACTATATAGATGGTCGCATTCTATATTGGGTAGCGGCTGCGTGTGGGTCTCACCTGGCGGCTTTGTTTCGTCTAGCGTACGCAAGGTGGCGCTCTACTTCGTGCACGAGCGCTGGTTTGACTACACCATCCTCGTCTTCATCGCCCTCAACTGTATCACGTTGGCCATGGAGCGACTTCAGATACCGCCCGATATGCATTGGTACGGCACTCCTCATCTACCCACACACACCACAGCACACACACGCGCGCGCGAGTCTCTCTCTCTCTCTCTCTCTCGCTCTCTCTCTCTCTCTCGCTTTCTCTCTCTCTCTCTCTCTCTCTCTCTCTCTTCTTTCTCTTTCTCCTCTCTCTCTCTCTTCTCTCTCTCTTCTCGCTTTTGGTCTCCGCTTTCTCTCTCTCTCTTCTCTCGCTCTCTCTTTCTCTCGACTGTCTCTCTCGCCCTTTCTCTCCGGTGCTCTAGCCCCTTTCTCTCTCTCCCTCTCTTCTCGCTCTCTCAATGTTTACACGCTGGCATTGGAGCGCGACCCTCGATACCGCAGTATCATGATAAAGCCACTCCCCCATCTTACCCACTGCTCTCTCTTCCTCTAGCGCAAGCTCTCCTCGACACAGCTATCTCTCTAGCGCGCTCTCTCTCACGAGACGCCTCTCTCTTTCGTTGTCTCGGTCTCTTCTCTTTCTCTCGGTCTTGCTCTCTTTCTCTGTCTTTGTCTCTATTTTCTCTCTCGCGCGCGCGCTTTCCCTCTCTCTTTTTTATCTCCCTCTCTCTCTCTCTCTCTCTCTCTCTCTCTCTGCTGTCTCGCGCTTCTCTCCATTTCTCTCTTCCTTTTTTCTCTCTCTCTCTCTCTTTGCGCTTTTATCTCTTTCTCTTTCTCTTTCCCTTCTATCTCTCGTGCTCTCTTTTTCTAGCTCTACCACTAGTCTTGCCCTTTTCTCTGTATCTCTCGCCCGCCCCATCTCTGCTATTGGCGTGGTTTCTTAAAGGCCGCATAGAACTATTCGTCCGACTTTTTTTAGTAGGCGTGGCGCGGAAGAGGCTAGTAAAATCGTTTGATTTTGATTTTGTGATCCATTTAGATTTCGGCTGTTAATCGGGATCGCCTGACGAAGAAATGCTTAAGTTCTGCTCCTCTTTTCTCTTCTTTATTCTCTCTTCCTCTCCTCTTCTCTCTCTCCTCTCTTCTCTCTCCTCTCTCTCTCACTCTCTCTCTCCTTCTCTCTCTCTCTCTCTCTCGTCTCTCTCTCTCTCTCTCTGTGCCTTTCTATCTCTCTCTGCTTCTCTTTCTCTCTCTCTCTGCTCTCTCTCTTTTTCTCTGCTTTCTTTCTCTTCTTCTCTCTTCTTCTCTCTCTTCTTTCTCTTGTTCCTATCGCTGCTCTCTCTCTCTTTCTTTCTCTCGCTTCTCTCTCTTTCGCTATCTCTCCTCTCTCTCTTCTCTCTTTCTCTCGCTCTCTCTTCTCTGCTCTCTCTCTCTCTTTCTTGTCTCTCTGACGCTTAGTCGTCGCTAATTTATCTATTTTACTGTTTCAGGAGAGGAGCGTGCTAACAAAATCCAACTATGTATTTACTGTGATATTTACATTAGAAATGTCTTTCAAGGTACGTATTGGAGGATCCAGTGAATTCTCCTGATGACTCTTTCTCCTCTTCCTGATATACTCCGCCCTTCTATTTTCCTGATATACTCCTCCCTCCCACCGCCTGATATACTCTCCCTTCTATTTTCATGATATACTCCTCCCTCATACATTATCTGGAAGCATATTGCCCGGGGCATCATATTATAATTATGGACGCCATGTTGTTGATTCTTACTCGCTGCCTTGCTCACCCTAGTCAGAAATTTAATTTTAAGTTTAAACAAAAGTTTAATGAGTTTAAATTTGTACTGCTGCTCTTAATTTTCTCCTTCAACGCGAGAATATCGAGGTCATCATGGTGATTACACACGAAGGGCGGACGTCGAAATTTTCCAAGAATACGTTATAAATAGATTTTTAGTATTAAATTGGATTTCTGATGGTTTCCAATATAGCAAGCCACAAAGCGATCCGCTCTGCCTTGACTGAAAGGCACTTTCTTTCGTCACTAAATTTCGTTTAAAAATTTATTCCTAATTAAGTTGTAAGCGATTAAAACCGATTTTTCTCGCCAACACATGAAAAACACCTCAAACCCGTCTTAATACTGTAAGAGCAATGTACGTGTGAGTATGTGCACTATATTATGTCTACACACTGTGAAAAACATTAGAAAAACGTAAAGTCTCTTTCTCTCTTACTTTTCCTTCGTATAACTTGCCCGTAGATATATTCTAACTGTTGACACAAATTTTTTATAAAAAGCACCACCAGGCTGTTTAATTGGCAGCACTGTCGCTCTCAAAGCCGATTGGCTGTCGGCACAGGCAGCGTGCACTCGGCACACTTCGGCTGATTCCGGATCCCGCGCATCTAAACGAAAACTGCATCAGTGCCCCCTTCGTTCAATCTCAGGGATACCACTGCCACAATGCTAGCACTATTTTTCAAATGAGCGGAGGTAGCGGGAAATCAGCGAAATGAGATTTGTAAGAGGTAACTGAGACTGCGCACCAATCGCCGCAGCTATTCCGTATCACTATTTTATCATATTTTTTATGAAATAATTGTCCGCATTATTATCTTGCAAGTTTATAAGTAGGCACCCCGTATTAATAGGACAGGAGTAAGGGTCGCTGTAAACTTTAGTACAAAGGAAGCGTAAGAAGATTCTTACGGATAATCAGCTTGTGGCAGTGGTAGAATGAGCCAGAGCGAGAGCGCCATCTGTCGTGAGTTTGTACTAAACGAAAGAGGAAGTAGCGTCATCGCGTTGCCATAGCGATAGATAATACTTAAAATAATCAATCCACTGTAAATCTGCGAGAGAAAACAGAACTCATACGTGCAGATAGACACCTTTACTCTTATCCAGCGTTAGTCATAATTATTCCCTGCCACCGTATACATACGTGCGTGCACGCGTGTGTGTGTGCTTGATGTGTCGTTGTGTGCTTGTGTGGTGGTGTGTGTGTGTGTGGTGTGTGTGTGTGTGTGTGTGTGTGATGTGTGCAATAATGAGGCCACCGTATATAAGTCTACATACAAAATGCGTGCGTGCGGTGTGGCGCGCAGTAATTGGGTGCCACCTGTATAGCATACATACTATGTGACGTGTGTGGTGTGTGCGGTGTGCGTGCGTGCGTGCGATTGCGTGCGTAATGCGGTTCCGCAGATAATGTGACACGTATGCATACTATGCATTAGCCGTATATATAGATATAGCTCTATATACGCTCGCATTACTACATACATGGGCCGTGCGCAGTGCGGCATGCGAGCAGTTTATTGGTCACCACCGGTATGCATTACTTACAGAGCCCGTAATTATAATATAGCTCTATTACGGCGTCTGAATACATACATACATGCGCGGCGTGCCGTGGTGCATGGCGAGCATATGTACACCTATGCCATAATATACAGAGCCTATATATAGATATGAGCTCTATATACGCTATCCAATACATACATACATCGCGTGCGTGCTGCGTGCGGCGAGAGTATTGGCAAGCTTGCCGTTGGGGAAGCATGCGATATCTCGGGCGCTGAACGTCATGGATGGCTTTCTCGTCGTCATCTCTCTCGTCGACATCCTCGTCAGTCTAGTCGGCGACAGCAGTCCACGCATCTTCGGCATCCTGCGCGTGTTCCGCCTGCTGCGCACGCTCAGACCGCTCAGGTGGGTGACAGTCTATGACGCGTGGCGCCACCACCCGGTTGTGCTTGCAGTTTGTAAATTATTAAGTTATTAAGTATTATATTATAAGTTATAATATTATAATATATATTATATATTATATATATATATTATATTATAAGTTATTAGGTTGATAAGTTGTTAAGTTATTAAGTATTATAAGTTATTGAGTTGATAAGTTGTTAAGTTATTAAGTATTATAAGTTATTAAGTTGATGTTCCGGTTAGGGTTGAGTTTCGCGTTTGTAAGATATCTGTTAGGTTGAGATTTAAATTCGATCGAAATGCTAAACAGTATTTTTGTTTACGCATTGCACTAATTCTTATGTTCCGTGTAGTACCGAGTAATACAGGGTGATAACTCCCATGTTACATGTAATACAGGGTGATAAGTCCAGCTTAATGTAATAACAGGTGCATAAGTCCATGCTTACATGTAATACAGGTGATAAGTACCATGTTACATGTATACAGGCGTGATAAGTTCCCATGTTACATTAGAACATCGCGTGATAACTCCCATGTTACAATGTATACAGGTAAACGCCATGTACATGTAATACAGGATGATTAATCGCACTGTTACATGTAATACAGGGTGATAAGTCCATCTTACATCTGTCTAATACAGAGGTGATAAGTCACATGTTACATGGTAATTACAGGGTGATAAGTCCCATGTTAAGGTAAAATACAGGGTGTAAGTCCCAGTTACATGTAATACAGGGTGTAAGTCCCATGTTACATGTAATACAGGGTGTAAGTCCCATGTTACATGTAATACAGGGTGTACAGTCCCATGTTAACATGTAACATACAGGGTGATCCATATAAATGTTCCTATGTTACATGGAATATCAGGCGTGATAAGGTCCATGTTACATGTTAAGATTACAGCGGTGATAAGTCCCATGTTACATGTAATACAGGGTGATAAGTCCCATGTTACATGTAATACAGGGTGATAAGTCCCATGTTACATGTAATACAGGGTGATAAGTCCCATGTTACTGTATACAGCGGTGATAACTCCCATGCTACAATGTCAATACAGGGTAATAAGTCCCATGTACATACTACAGAGGTGATAAGTCCCATGCTTACATGTAATACGGGTGATAGCATCCCATGTTACAATGATAATCAGGGTGATAAGTTCTCAGTGTACATGTAATACAGGGTGATAACTCCCATGTTACAGTAATACATGGTGATAAGTCCATTAACATGCTATATACAGGGTGATAAAGATTCCATGCTACATGTAACTACAGGCGTGATAAGTCCATGTTACATGTAAATACATGGTGATAAGTCCCATTTACATGTAATTACAGTGTGATAAGTTCAATGTTCTACATGCTAACTACAGAGGTGATAACTCCCACTTAACATGGAATACATGGTGATAAGTCCATGTACATGATACAGGGTGAATAAGTTCCATTGCTACATGTAAATACGGTGATATATCCCATGTTACATGTAATACAGCGGTGATAAGTCCCATGTTACATGCTAATACAGCGGTGATAACTCCATGCCCTACATGTAATACAGTGGTGAATAACTCCATGTTACATGTAAGATCAGGGTATAAGTCCTATGTTACATTAATACAGGGTGATAAAGTCCATGACAATGTAATACAGGGTGATATGGTCCATGCCTACATGTAATCAGCGTGAGTAAAGTCCCATGTTACATGTAATACACGGTAATAAGTCCCCATGCTTAAATGTATACAGCGTGAATACTCCCATGATACATGTAATACACGGTGCATAACTCCATTACATGTAATACAGGCGTGATAAGTCCCATGTTACATGTCAAGTACAGGAGTGATTAAGTCCATGTTAATGTAATACAGGGCTGAATAAGTCCATGCTACATGTAATACAGCGTATAACTCCCAGTGTTACATGTAAATGAATGTGCAATAGAGTCCATGTTACATGTAATACAGGGTGATAAGCTTCCATGTACATGATATTACTAGGGGCTTGATAAGTACATGTTACATGTAATACGGGTTTGATAAGTCCATGTTACACTGTATACAGGTATACCTCATGGTTTACATGTAAATGACATGGTGATAAGCCCATAGTTACATGTAATTACACGGCGATAAGTCCATGTTACATGTAAATACAGGGGATAAGTCCATTTTAACATGTATATACATGTGATAAAGTCCATGGTACATTAAATACACAGGTGATAAGTCTATCTTTAAATGGAATACAGGGTGCATATAGTGCCATGGATTACATGTTGAATACAGTGTGGGATAAGTCCCATTTTACATGTATACAGGTGATAATCCATGTTACGTGTAAACGGGGTGATAAGTCCCATGTACATTTAATACAGGTTTGATTAAAGTCCATGTTACGTGTATACAGGGTGATAAGTCCCTGAGTACATGTAATACAGCAGTTGAATAACTCCCAAATGTTAATGTAAAGTAATAAGTCCCATTGTTTACAGTAATACAGGGTGATAAGTCCCATCTTACATGTTAAACAAAGGTGATAAGTCCCATGTTACATGTTAATACGGGTTGCATAAGTCCATGTTATCATGCTAATACAGGGTGATTAATCTGCATGTAATGGTAATACAGGGTATAATCCCCAAGTTACATGCTAATCCAGCGGCGATTTAAGTCAATGTTACAACTGAATACAGCGGTGATAAAGTCCCATAGTACATGTAATACAAGGTGATAAGTCCTCGACAGTAAATACAGGGGTGAATAAGTCCCATGCTACATGTAATACAAAAGGTGATAATTCCCATGTTACAATGTAATACATGAGTGATAAGTCCCATGTTAAATCAATACATGAGTAAAGTCAATGTTACATGTAATACAGGGATAAGTCCCAGTGACAGTTAATACAAGGATAATCCATCGTATCCNGATAAGTCCCATGTTACATGTAATACAGGGTGATAAGTCCCATGTTACATGTAATACAGGGTGATAAGTCCCATGTTACATGTAATACAGGGTGATTAGCCGCGCTCCGGGACTGAAGCTGGTCGTACAGACTCTACTCTCGTCGCTGCGACCCATCGGTAACATCGTTCTCATCTGCTGCACCTTCTTCATCATCTTCGGCATCCTCGGAGTGCAGGTAACCATGGCAACCAGCGGTGAAGCCATGGTGCGGGATTCCTTGGCTGATGCGGACCGCCTATATGAACGTTAATATTAGAAGATTTTACGCTATTATTAGACGTTTATATTAGAAGTTATTATCACATTAAGATTAGAAGTTATTAATAATAATATTGTATTTACGTGTGCTATTTCCTAACAGCTGTTTAAAGGCAAGTTTTACTACTGCGATGCCGCTGACGTCACGCATATACACAACAAGACGCAGTGCTACGCAGCCGGATACAGCTGGCTCAACCAAAAGTACAACTTTGACAATCTGGGACAGGTTTGTAACCGGCACCTCACATGCATCGAGATAAATACGGTCGCTTTATAGAGAACCACGTAGTGATATCTACAAGATCTCTACAAAGGGACCCTAGAAAAGGCCAGTATCTCAATCAATGGCCGCCCTCACAAGAGGCGCGGCCGTAGCGTAGTTACAACCAATAGCCGAGCACAGCCGATGCCACGTGATTCATCTCGGCGCCGTGATTAGTTGTCTACGTCACGCCACTCGCATAAATCTGGTTTCGATTTCGTTGATTTCCTTTCGGTTTTAATTCAATTTATTTCGTCACCAACGAACAAACACTACTCACGGGTTTTCGCAGCAGATATCTCTGGCCACAACGAGCCGCCATGTGCGTGCCTCGGGAGGCAGCTTGATTTGACAAATACCCGCACAGCAGTGCCTAAAAGAAGATACCTTCGGCTTTCTTTCAGGCACTGATGGCCCTATTTGTCCTGTCGTCGAAGGACGGCTGGGTTCAGATCATGTATACGGGCATTGATGCGGTCGGAGTGGACATCCAGGTAGGTTTCTATGACTCACTTCGTCACCTGCAGGGCTTCCCCCGCGCATGCGCAGACGTGACACGCGTCGCAGCAGCCGTATGACGGCAACCGTTTGACAGCAACTGTTTGTCACCGTTATCCGAACACTTTGTAATTTAGTTTTGTTTACGTCACATCACGTTATTCAACAACACTGTTTCCGGTGCTGTATATCCTGACGTCATGAACACTTTCTAACTAAACATTCTCACAGCTAATCGAGAAAAACGACAACTTGCGCCGTTTATGTATATATCCTGTGCCCTTTACCCGCATTCTACCACAATCCAATTCTCTCGCTGTCGCTCGCTCGCTTTCTTGCTTTCTCTCTCTCTCTCTCTCTCTCTCTCTCTCTCTCTTTCTTTCTCTCACTTTCTTTCGCCCTCTTTTTCCTTCTTTCTCTCTCTCTCTCTCTCTCTCACTCCCTCCCTCTCTCTCTCCCTCTCTCTCTCTCCTTTTTTCTCTCTCTCTCCCTCCCTCTCTCTCTCTCCCTCTCCCCTCTCTCTCTCTCTCTCTCTACTAACCCGCACGGCCTGCCGCGCTCTCTCACTCCCTCCCTATCTCGATCTCTCCCTCTCCCTCTCTCCCTCCCTCTCTCTCTCCCCCTCCCTCTCTCTCTTTCTCTCTCTCTCTCTCTCTCCCTCTCCCCCTCTCTTTCTCTCGCTCTCTCTACTAACCCGCACGGCCTGCCGCGCTCTCTCTCTTTCTCTCTCTCTCTCTCGGTGTCGCCCCCGTACAGCCGGTGGAGAACTACGACGAGTGGCGCCTCCTATACTTCATCTCCTTCCTGCTGCTCGTCGGCTTCTTCGTTCTCAACATGTTCGTCGGCGTCGTCGTCGAAAACTTCCACAAGTGTCGCGCGTCGCAGGAGCAGGAGGACCGCGTGCGACGCGAGGCAAAGCTGCTCAAGAAACTCGAGAAGAAACGAAAGAGTATGGGCATGGAGGCTGCTGCGTCCTCGGCGCACGGTTGGTTCCCCTTCGCGCACTGAGTCTGGCTCCTCCCCCCTCTCCCCCTCCCCTTTACAAAAAAGGGGGTTGTTGAAAGATTGAGGTCGGCGAATGACCTTGAAAATCCGTCTCTGGCGACCTCTAAAAGGTCTCTTTGTTGACAGCATGCTGGCATTGTGGTTGGATTATCTCTACTACAACTTTTACTACTACTATTACTGATAATCTCTATCATCTATTACATCTACTTCCTCCTCTATCCACTTGTGCACCTTCCTCAGTCTGTATGCTGTTCTTTTCCCTTTGAGAAGAATACGGTAGCATACACGACAGAAGTTGAAATCTTTCCAACAGGCGCTATTTATAGTTATAGGTGTATTGAGTTTCGCATGCAGGGTTTGTCACGCGTCGTTTCGACTCATGCATGCTGCATATATTTGTGTGTGTGCATCCGTGAACGCATAGAGAATGAATGGTGCATCTTTCCCGCTAACGTTCTCCATAAATCCGCAACAGATTTTCGCTTAAACATGACGTCTCGTTTCTTTTACCAACTCGTCTGTTTTTGGAGCGTATGCCATATCGTGAGTGACGTAACGGAATGACAGCAGTGTCGTCTGCTAAAGTGAAGATTATGGTGATTTTTGGTGATAGTTTGCCGAGAGCTAGTCTAGGTTGTTACTGATCGTATCCGATCATTGCCCATGCATAGCCTATGATCGATTCCACGCCTCTACCTAACCTCGGCTGTGCACAGCTTGTCACAGCCACTGAAACTCAGATTGATCACGCTCAAAAAAAAGCTATTGCGATGAAAGACAGCTTTGGTGAAAAATACTGGCGAGAATTGCGAAACCTCGCGTGAACAAAAATGGCGTCGAGTTGAAAAAATTAATGCGCTGTGCTTTGTAGTGATTTTATTTTTAGATTGCACTGTTTTGAGGCAGGAAATTAGAGATATAGTGTCTTATCTGTAACGTAATCACATAAGAAAGAGCAGAAAGGCAGGCGTGGGGGCGTCGCCAGCCAATTGATATTAACTAGTTTCGCGCAAGACTTTAACATTTACACTGCCGATTGTCGGTCGAATAATTGAAAAATTTATCAAATTCGTCAATTTTCCAGCATGAAGTTGATAGCGTAAACTCAGCATAAGAAATTGCGGGCAGCAGAAATAAAGAAATAAGTAAGAAATAAATAAGAAGTAAATGGCAGGCAGGGGTGGGAGAGTGACAACCTACCTCATACAGCCACGCGAACGAAGCAGTGCGGCGGAATCGCCCGAGGTTTGCCGAACACGTGTCGAATAAGCTTGCTACTGCTTCGATCCTGTCGGTTACATGAGGATTATGACTAGACTACAGCAGCTGCTTTACATGTTGCGCAAGAGACAGAATAGAAGCCAAATAGTGCAACGGTGAACAATTTGCGCTTGCGACAGAATATAGACCAAAATAGTTTGGTTATATCGGTGAACAATTTGCGGAGGCTTACTGTTGTATGCCCCCTTAAGACTATACTACTGCTGCTTTACATGTTGCGCAACACCCCTGCCATGTTGCGCAACATGAATATAACATCTAGTGTCTCTCGCTATCGGCCGCTACTATAGCTGTGATCATGTGTATAGGTATCGCTGTGTCTCGCTCAGTGTGTCGGCGAGGTTTACAGCAGACCCCTAGCTAACTCGTCTTGCTTTGGGGGAAGGAGGAAACCCACACCTGCGCTTTGCATTCTGCACAGTTGACAGTTGACAGTTGACAGTTTACTTTTGACGTTACCAGGGGGTGGGAGTGTCTACCACTCCCCGGCCTGTCCACCGCTGGCTGTGGTTCACATGTATACGTGTATATATATATATATTATAGTGCTCGTGCATGTACGTGGCGATCGAGCACAAAATGGCCGCCGTCCGTCCTGCTTGTCCGCTTTACGTGTTGCCTCGCTAGGGGGCGGTGATGTCTCGTCGCATAGCTTCGGTCTGTCAATCATCGTGACGTCATCGTAGTTGTAGTCACCTTGCCCCTCGCACGTGTTTCCTGTCAACCAATCACGACGGAAATGACGTCCGTCTGTCGGGCGCGAGTCGCCTGGCCCTCGCCATGGCAACCATACACAGAGAGGGCGCTGAGCATTTCATTGAAGACGCTTTTCTTACATTGTCAGTAGGGGGGGGGGGTGGCTGCGGGGCCCGTGTGAACCAATCAGGAAACCCCGCGCTTAACGAGCAAGGCCCCCGCGCGTGCGTGCGTGCGTGCGTGCGTGCGTGCGTGCGTGCGTGCGTGCCAGCGGGAGAAGACTCAGTGTGCGTGCCCCGACCACGTGCTCGGAGGCTGCACTATACTCTCTAATTACTACTAATTAGCATTCATCGTCTAGTTAGTGATCTCGATGTTATCTTTACGGATCTTTCTCTGGCAGACGACATAGCGTAACTTGTCGCGACTTGTTCGAACGCGTGCAAGGAGCGGATACGTCACATCCGCCCAAGTGTGGATTTGAATAACACCTCTTTCATATATATCATATATATATATATATATATATATGATCTATATACTATATATATCATCACTATAATCATCAGATATCATCATATACATCACTATATATATGATATATATTTTATTTATCTATCTATCTAGATATTAATATCTCTTTCTCGCTCTCTCTCTCGCTCTCTCATTCTCAATCCGGTCTACTCATCTCTCGTCTCCGTCTCTCTCTATTCTATATATAATATATAATATATACTATATATATTATATATAAAAAATAATTAATCAACAAAAATACAATAATAATATAAAAATGTTGCAATTTGTTGCAGAGGAAAGGAATATATATAATATATATTATATATATATATATATATATACTAGATACTATATTATTCAAGATACATGGCAGCCGAGCCCTTTCTTCAGCAACAAGTTACAACCTGTGTTGCTGCGTGTTGCGAGCAAAGCGCCACGCGCGTAGTTCTATGTCGGCTGAGCTACGTGCTTTCTCGCTCTCTCTCTCTCTCTCTCTCTCTCTCTCTCTATATATATATATATATATAGCTACGTGCTTTCGAGCCTCAGAACTGAATTCGTGGCTAGCGTGTTCATCGATGGCCTGGTATCGTGACTGCTCAGCGTGAACGCGAGTGTCGACAGCAGGTTACAGCTCCGGCAGACTAGCAGAATCTTCTCTCCGCCGACGGAAAATCTTCTGAATCTTGTCTCCTAGAAAATAATTATCTTATAGTTTGTCTAGTGCGTCTCCGCCCGTTACGGGGCTGCAGATTTTTTGTCTTTCGGGACAACGATTTTTGTCTCGGAGAGACAAAAATCTCCTAATCTATCCAGCAGTTCTTCACTCGTCCCCGTCCTGCGGATTCTCCTTTTTAGTTATTGTCTTTAGAAAAGCTGCTCTCGCATCGCAGCGAGGACAAAAACTCTCGTAGAAGATGGTGACAAAATTCTCTGAGACTAAGACCGAAAGTTTTGCGAAGATAAGATTCTCCTAGTCTGCAAAGAGCTTTACGCCCTCGCCGTGCTACCACACTGCAGTGCTCATGTAGCGGGTTACTCGTCGTCGTCGGCGTCGTCGTCGTCGTCGGCGTCGTCGTCGTCGTCGGCGTCGTCGTCGTCGTCGTCGTCGTTGTCGTTCGGTCGTCGTCGTCGTCGTGCGTCGGTCGTCGTCGTCGTCGTCGTCGTTCGTCGTCGTTGTCGTCGTCGTCGTTTGTCGTCGTAGTCGTCGATCGTCGTCGTCGTCGGTCGTCCGCGTCGTCGTCGTCGACGTCGTCGTCGTCGTTCGTCATCGTGTCGTCGGCGCGGGTGCGGCGCGGTCGGCGGCACGTCATGTCGATCGTCAGTCAGTTGTCGTCGTCGTCGTCGGTTGTACGTCGTCGTCGTTGTCGGTCGTTGTCGTCGTTGTCGGTCGTCGTCGTGTCGTCGTCGTCGTAGTCGTCCGTCGTCGGCGAGCGGCGGGCGTTGATCGTCCGTAAGTCGTCGTAGTCGTCGTTCGTCGTGCGGCGTCGTCGTCGTCGTCGTCAAGTCGTGCCGTAGTCGTCGTCGTCGTCGTACGTCGTGCGTCGTCGTCGTCGTAACGTCGTCGTCGTACGTCGAAGACAGATAGTACGTCGTCGTCGTCGGCGCGGCGGCGTTGTCGTCGTAGTCGTCGTAGTCGTCCGAGTCGTCGCGTCGTCGTCGTCGTCGTCGTCGTTCCGTCGTCGAGGCGTTAACAGGTGCACTCGGTCGTCTGATGTATTTAGACGAGACGCTAACGTAATACTAACTTATCAAAGATCGTAATCAAGAACTAAATCAAAGTTATGTAATCTATGCTATCTAGGATTAACTAATAAATAGTATTAATTATTATAAAAAGTCGGTATTCAATTCACCTGCCAGCTGATGGGCCGAATGTGTTATTAGCTCATAATATTATCAGGAGCTAATAATGACAAATTATTGACAAATTATTGACAAATTAATGACAAATTTTGTCATTATTAGCTCCTGATATTATACAAATGTTAGGTCTAACAACAGCCTCCGCACTACTCACACACATAAGCTGCCAGACTTGCTGCTACACCTATCTGCATATAGCTGCTACACCAATCTGCGTATAGCTGCTACACCAATCTGCGTATAGCAGCTACACCTATCTGCGTATAGCTGCTACGCCTATCTGCGTATAGCTGCACAGCCTATCTTGCGTATAAGCTGCTACACGCTTATCTAGCGTATAGCTGCTACACCTATCTGCGTATAGCCTGCTAACAGCTATCTGGTAAGCTGCTAAGCATATCTCGCGTATAGCTCTACACCTATGCTCGTTAAGCTGCTTAACATCTATCTGCGTATAGTGCCTGCTACGTCCTGATCGCGTATAGCTGCTATACGTCTATCTGCGTACTCCACGCTGGCTACACCTATCTGCGTATAGCTGCTACACCTATCTGCGTATAGCTGCTACACCTATCTGCGTATAGCTGCTACACCTTTCTGCGTATAGCTGCTACACCTTTCTGCGTATTGCCAAAGAGCCTATATTGACTCGTTGGTATAGCTGTGATCATATAGTGTTGTGTGTGGCTGTGTGGTTTCGCAGGAATGAAGGCGCCGCCGTACTACATCGGTTACCGGCCGCTGCGTCTTTTCCTGCACAACGTCTGCACGAGCAAGTACTTCGACCTCGCCATCGCCGCCGTCATCTTCCTCAACGTCATCACCATGGCGATGGAATTCTACATGATGCCCGATGTAGGTGTGAGGCTGCGCGGAATGCATGAGGGAATGCACGGGGTGGGGATGCACGGGGTTAGAATGCACGGGGAATGCACGGGGTTAGAATGCACGGGGTGGGGATGCTACGGGGTGGGAATGCACGGGGAATGCACGGGGT